TGGCTTTTCCCGCTAGGCTTATATACTAACGAAGAGGCTTCTCCAAAATTCGCGGAGTTCCCTGATAATTCTAGAAATTCAGTCACACATGCGCTAGCAGCGTCACGTGACTTTCGCTGTCGTAACAAAAATTTTAACCTGAGTAAAGATATATCCTCTACTAGTTATAAAAGAGTAAAAAAAATAAACCGTGATTTATGCGCAAGGAATACTGTAATTTTAATTTTGACTAATATATTGCTTTGTTTGTTTGTAGTCAAGTCCAAAGCTACACAATGGTCTATTTGTGCTCTGCCTACCATAGGTATCAAAACCCGGTTTTTAGTGTTCTAAGCCTACAGACTTACCTCTGTGACACTGGGGAAGAGGAATATTTTAACATAATATATATATATATTGTTTGATTTTGAGCAAAGCCACATTGAGCTATCTGCTGTGTCTACTGCAGGGAATCAAACCCTGGATTTTAGGATGATAAATCTATAGACTTAACACTGTCCCACCATTGGATTTAATATATTGCATGTGTCTTTTTCTATGCTTCACATTAACATAAAACTACTGTATTCATCTTTTTTAAACCAGAAATATATATTCTATAGGCTTAGTATGAATGTAGAAACTTTATATGTTCAACTTTCTAGGAGAAAACTTGTATTTTTATGTAGCAAAAACTTAATGAACAACACTTCATGATCACAAGATTTAGTTTTTAGTTTTCCTCATGCCACTTCAATTTCCCATTTCTTGAAAAGGTAAAACTAGTGATTTCTCAACAGTTTTAAACTTTACTTTTATAAACAAAAAGGTAATAAAAGCAAAAGATTTTCAACATTTTTTCATACTTCACATTACCGATTCCTGTTAAAACAATGACTTCCTGAATTAAGTGGTTGAATAAAATTTTAGCACCTGAATTTAATGGCCAGTTCAGCTTTGCTTTCAGTAATTTAAACAATATTTATTTATTAATAAATGGTGTATCTATTAACATTTAAGCAAAAGAAACTTTGAGGGAAAATGTCATATTACAAAACAGTATAGATTTTTCACAAACCCTAAATTATAAGCACTTCTTTACTACAAATAACAGCCTAAAAGTTAACATTTTTCTTACATTGAAAATGTATTTCTTATAGGTATTTACTTCCTACAAAAAGCTATTTCGAACATCTTTCTGCCCTTTAAGCATTGATAAAAAAATTTCACGCTCAGTGCCCCAGTCTATATACCCCATCAATTTCACGCCATTTTTGAACATGTACATATCATGTGATTACTCTTCACCAATGTATTGCACCACCTATATTGGTACAGCTAGCTCATTCTACTATTTCTGCTAAATCTTCATTTTTGAGAATTGGCAGGCTCTAAAAGAAGAACACCAGCAGTGGGTACGATGGGTGGGAAGTTTATGACAAGAGGTGAGTGCCTATTAGAAATACATTTTAAGTGCAAATAAAATTTTAACTTCTGAAACGGTACAACACTACTTCTGGAACAGGTATGCTCTTTGCCCTTGAAGTAGAAAATTAATCTGATAAAGGCAGAAAAAAGGATGCGCAAAAATGCAACTTGTTTGTAGAGATGCAATCTATAGTAAGATATAAACTGAAATAGCTAGGTACATACACAACCTCAACTAGATTATGTATGGATAGACAAGGTTCCATAACTCATCCTCGGCATTAGGAAGTTAAGGATCAAAAAAGATAAAAACCAATGTATTGTAACATAAACACATTGGCTAGGGCATGTGGACCATGTTATATATACTCAACATCCCCAATCGTAAGTAAACAGTGTATTATACATCAAGCATTTAGAATTATGAATAGGAAGTTAGCTTTTGGCCAAAACTGGACAAACTCCCAAAACCACCTTGGGAGCAATAAGTACAGCAAACTGAACCTGGCATTATGGGGTCGTGGCATTGCCTCAACTCAACCCTAAAAACCTGTATTACGAGTGAAAACTATAAATCACTCAACAGTAGATGCAGGGAAGTGACATCCTGCACATGGAACATTCACTCAATCATATGAACAGTGTACATATGCCGGTATTAAGAGGGAGACAATGTCTCCCAAACTCAACTTAAGGAGTAGGGAAAGAACCTCCTGCAACCAGAATTAAGAAGAAGAGGGGCATCTACTGCACACAACTGTAGGAACCTGGTGGTGTCATTCCAAACACATATTATATACTAGGAAGATCCCACTTATACTGGACCTGCTCCAACCAACAGTTATCCACCTAGTAAAAAACACCCAGGGGAAATGGAAGGAGGGAAACCAGCTTTGCTCTCTTCTCACTGATTGGATAATCATGACTATGTATGATAAATTAAATTTCTAAGCACACTCAAAGGAAGCCTTCATAGTCTACCATCCCAGCAACTGGGAACTGGTAAGAACTTTTGTGTTCCACTGGAAGAAAAAAATGGGGAAGTCTAAAGGAATGTCACACCAGAGAAAATGCAATGGGTGTCTACAATTCCATATTTTGAAAAGCAAACCAACCCTGATATATTCAGTCAAAGGGTCAGCAAAGATGGGCAGAAATCCCCGTCTGCTTTACTCATGAAGTCCATGAGTGACGGTTCATCATTGAGTGAAACTTATTGATATCTTGAAACACACACACACACACACAAACATATATATTATATATACCACTGGGTATGCCACCAGTGTTCTTGCAGAACACCTTACCTAAACGGTGTGTTATAGTGCAAGCAATAAATAATACAGGTTGGGGCTAAGCATACCTGACCAGGCAACACCTACCACAGAGTGGGATCCAATTATCAGCGGTAAAAATGAAGGTTGCTGAAAATAAAAACATAAATGAAAGGAAGTGATAAGACCTATCCCAATTAAAGGCGAATGGAAGTGTGTAGAATCACCATGATATCCACCTGAAGAAGATGCAGCCAGAACCTAATAATTTGACAAATCCAACAAGTTAGCATGACAGGGGATATATCATGGGAAACAGAAGGGTTGCAGAGAATGAAACGTCGGGAACATGAATCACAAGAGGAGGCAGTGCATGCCACATAACACTGTAAGGAGCAAATCAGACAAAGAAGCTGATCAGGATTGTAATGGGAGTACATGTGGGAGATGGAAAGTAAGGAAATTGGTGTGAAAGCAAAACCACTCACAGGTTTAGGAAGGAAGGGCCGGTCGGGATATAGGATGAAATAACAGAAATGGTAGAGGATGCAGGTAATGTTAATAGCATAAATATCTGATTGACAAAGTCCACAAACAAGGAGGAGAAGTAATTGAGTCTTGAGGGAGATATAGAGATGGTACATAGAACACAGACAAAAGTTCAAAGGGTGGATGGGAAAGGGCATAAAAGACCACATTGAGCATGAATTTTGTCTTTTCCTCTCAATTCTTAGTTTGTTTCAGAATGATTTTCATGTAAGCTTGTTGGTAATGTATTTTTTATCAGCTACGAATGTGTATAGCTAGATACTATAGAAAGGGTCAGCATAAAATGCAGCACTCTATGAATGACAGCATTGGTAGTGTCACTTTTATGCAGCACAATTTTTATTACTCTTCAACCAAGTTTGAACATAATCAGTATGTTTCACTGTTAAGGCTTAAATGTGAGTCATTATCATTAAATTATGAACTAAAAAAATAAGAGAAGTTGATAAACTTAATACAAAAAAATAAATACTGGCATACTGGGGTCATTTATCTTGTGGCCATTCTCCATGAGCAACCTTGTTATTCTTATATTGCCATTAATGGCAGCAGCCATGAGAGGAGTCAAATTGCTACTGGCAACATCTGGAGGTGAATCATCTGTTCCCTGGCTCTTAAATTCTGCATAACTACAACATAAAAAAGAAAAACAATTTTAAGAAATATAAAGAAACTATTTTTTGTAGCTAGGACTTGTGGTCAAATTAAATTAAAATTTTGAAAACTTGCCTCTCTACAGACTATCAGAAAAATATACTAATTTTCAAGTTTGGTTAAAGGAGTTTAATATATAGACTCCTTTATCTGAAGTATTTCCTCATTCAAACTACATCCCATTACCTTAAACTACTATTATCTACGATAAATTTATTGTCTTCTGCTTACACACAATGATGTGGTATGGTTTAAATTTGATGAACCGAATCATTCAGAATTTATTTTTGTAATGTTTCTAAATTTCGATGTGTTTGTTTTTCTATACTTCTTTGTAATTTCATAAAATTTAATTTAAAACTTTAAAGAACTAATAAATGGCATTTTCCGTATGAAGAACTTATGTGTGACAAAAGCTGTAGCATAATTGGAAATATTCAATAAACTGACAAACAAGTGATAAACACAATATAAAAATTCATACACTATAGTCTTCCTATACTGAAAATGTATTTCCAATAGGTACTTCCATCCTCTCACAAGAGTAGCTTTTGTGCTGTCCTCTATATGCAAACTTTTTCATAACGCATGCCACAAGCCTTCCACATCCCATAATGTAATCAAACAATCCAACATGTCTCTCATGCAAATCATCATGCATCATCTCTTCACCAATAGGAGAGCACTACTATCACTTGACACACGACTCCCTCTATGCGCCACTACCATCACTTCAAAATTTGGCAGATGATGTAAGCACTGGAAGTCTGTGGATAGGGGGGTGAGAAATGGGAAAGGAGGGCAGTACCTATCAGAAATACATTTTCAGTATAGGAAAATTATAACTTCTGATACAGTACTTCCCTCCACATTGAAAAGAATGGACCAGTGCGAGGGAAGAACAGATGTACCTCCTGAAACATCCAAAGGATACTTCTCTAGATGAGAAAAACAGATCAGATGACCTGAGAAGGGGCACTGCACCACTTCTGAACCAGGTATCTCCATACTACGAACTGCTAGGAACAAACATGGTGGAAAGTGATCCCAACCAGATAAATATAGAAATTCAATCCCACAGAAGTAAAGTGGGTAAATGAGTATACATCACACGGTGTAAAATGGCTAGGATGCGGCGGATTGTATTTGGTAAGCCAACTACATCCCAAACATTTTCACTGGGTACTGACATCCACGCGAGGGTGGGATGAGGATCGTATGGGATTCACCTCAAACGCCAAAATCGTGGATGTGAGGAAAACACTGACTCCAGGGTATGACATACGATTAGCATTCATCCAGGGATCCGGGAATGTGTCATCTGGTATCCAAGGGAATCCATCGCATGCAGTCAACTCCCATGACCATGAGATTGGTCCAAAACGTCCAAAGATCGATAACATCCCCATTGCAAGAGAGAGAATGAGGGAGTGCCCAGGACAAAAACATCCCACATATACCTTCCATGACCCCAAACCTGTGTGAGGACATAGGTTCATTGGTTCACTTGATATCTAAAAGCAGCCCGCAGGATATCAACATCAGCGTGAAGGTAGGATGAGGGCACCCAATCAAAGAAGTGAACTGGATTTCGATGTCTCACTCCATCCAGAGGATTTTGCGCTTTCTATGCCAGCAGAACACAACCAACCTACTCTGAACTGAATGGTTTTAGCCATCTATGTTACCCTCGCAAGCCACAGAGGTCTAGGGAAGGAAGAAACAAATCAAATAAATAAGAAGATAGGTTTCGTGGTAGAGTGTGCAAGTGACATAGATGGTGAACAGATCCAACTGAAGCCATCTGAAGGCCAAGAAGAGAAGGAAATACACCTTAAGAGCATGAGGCAATGGGCTCAAACGAAGCTAAAGCAAAGAAATGGAGTATTACATTAATGTCTCAATCTGAAAGTACCGGACACCTAGGTGGCCAATGGATCAAAATTGCAAGGACAAGGGAAAGATAGATCCTGCAGTAATGGGAAAAATGTAAAGTATGGGATATGGCTGCATGATAACCTGATATCAAGAAGCTGGAATACCCCTTCTTAAAAACCATGTAAGATACTCAAAGATACCAGCAACTGTAGGATGAATAGCTGGGATACCCTGAACCAGGGTCCAGGTGCAAAAAACATTTTATTTCTGCTGATACACAGCCATGGATATGAGCCACTACTGTTAAATTGTCATAATGGATCATGACCAGATGATCTCTGGAGATGGGAAGAAAATGATCCAAAGCCTCACAAACAGCAAGTTTGAAGATGTTTATATGAAGAGAATGTTCCCCAGCAGACCAACGACCCAATGCCTTCTGGTAAATGACCCACGCACCCCAAACTTGAAGGAATGCATCCATGAACAGATGTAAAGCTAGCCACATAGGAGGAAGCAGGACACCCACTGATGTATAATCCTTGTCCAACCACCATTGGAGATCATTCACAATGTGGAAAGGAAAGGTTATAGGAGCATCCAAGTAATCTCCAGCAAGGTTCCATTGGTCATGGAGGGCCCATTGAAGGGATCTCATATGCGCCCAGTCAAGGGGTATGAGAGTAGTCATAAAAGACCACATCCCCAAAAGCAATAGAACCTCATGAGCAGAAAGTGAAGGAGCAGACAGAGCATTCGAAACAGCCAGTTCCATAGAACAGAGCTGAAGAGGAGAAAGTTGGCCCAACTGAGATGGATGTTGAAAAAAACAACCAGATGAATGAGTTACTGGGTAGGATGAAGGAAGGACTTCTCCGATGTGACCCACCAGCCCACCTGAGCAGCTTTGAGAAGGAGCTGATGAGTACAGCAGGCCGACTCCCGTTCAGAATGAGCGAGAAGAATCCAGTCGTCCATGTAAAAGTGAAAGGGCAACCCCAGGGCATGAAGATGTAGAGTAAAGGTTTGCACCACCCGATAGAAAATGTACAGTGCTAAAGCCATGATGGACAAACCAAAGATAAGGATGAGAACACTGAAATATGGAAATATGCAGATAAGCATTGGAGATGTCCATCTTGGTCACCCAGAGAAAAACCTAATCAAAGAGTAAGGTAGAATGCCATGGTGAAGTATGGGGTACGAACATATCGATTGAGACGGGACAGGTCGATGACTGGCCTTCAGTCCCTGGTCATTTTGGGAACTACAAACAGGCATGGAGCAGGTTCAATATCCTGTTGTGTGAGGAGGTCTTGCACTGCCTTGGATAGATCCTGGTGTGACAAGGGATCCTGAACAGTAGGAAAAGAAATAAACACATGGGACAATGGATGAAGGGTAAGAAAGGGTATGGCGAATCCCTCTGACAAAACTCGGTGAACCCAAACATTGGAGATGAAAGGGCTCCACCAATGAACGAAGGTCGCCAGACGAACCCATACCAGACCTGAACCCAACAGGTAGTCACAAGAACTGTTGTTTGTGTACCATGTGTTGTCATGAAAAACATAAACAGTGGCACCACTGAGACAAGGAGGGTTGAAAGAGAGGAATCTGTGCCATGCTTGGCTCTGACTGGAACAAACAGGCCACCAATGAGACAGGGTTGATTATTGTTGGACCAAAGCCACCCTCGACTCCAAAGATTCCGAAATTGTGTCAAATATGAAACATCTAAAAATGGAGCCATACAAAGCTCCCATAGATAAGGAGTCGGGAGACGTCCACGACAATATGGCATCACAACCTCAAAGATCCCAACAACAAATACACTACGTTTGCAGGGCCAGAGATGACAGATGGGCTAATGTAAAAGTGGAGAGGGGGAGAACATCTCCATTAAACCCCTTAGGGTTCATGTGAAGATCCTGAGACAGGAGATGGGTCGAGGAGAGGTACTGCAAAAGAGATAAGATGAAGGCGGGAATACTAGGCATGGTTAAGATGAAAGGGAGACTTGGGTCCTGCCCCCAAACAGGCAAAACTCAACCCAACAATTGTTGGTCCAGATATGGACAGTTTACCCTATGATATGCGAGGGCAGACTGATCCAAAGCCAGCGGGGGATGAGGTATACTAATGCCGTCACCTAACTGGGAGACAAAATGCTCAGTGTGAACCCAAATAACAGGGGTGGGGGAAACTAAAGGTTGGGAGGCAGAATCATGTAATATAGAAGGACATTGGTCATGAGAAATAGGAGCAATAGACAAAACATCACATACCAGAGAAATAAAATCCGTGGAAACAGATGAGGGCCGAACAGAATCCTCAGGTAGGGTTTGGGAAGGCACAGCGAACTCTGAGAGGGGGACAAACGATCACAATTCTCATGAGCCTGGCCAGGCTCGAAAGGCTCAGGAGGAAAAGGGGCAACAGCAGGAGACAAATTGTCCCATATAATGCCCACTCTCCCTGTGAATAAAGGCCGATAAATCCCCCCGACAGGTCGTCTGCACCTGTGGCCTGAAGTATGGCACAGACGAATGAGAAGTACCTGAAGAGGTAATTTTAACTTTCGAATTTATACTTGATACCAAACAAACAAGCGAAACTTTTGCAGCAAAACTCTGGTAAATCACACCCTTTCGAAAATAAAGTGAAAAAAATCGTGAAATAAAGTAAATTAAGTTAAACCACTTCCAGAAGTAATGGGCAAAAAAAAGACACCTGAACTCAACCACTGCCAAACAAGAAGTGATGGTTCGGTAGTGGTGCATAGAGGGAGTCACATGCGTTACGTGACAGTAGTGTTCTCCTATTAGTGGAGAGATGACACATTATGATTTGCATAAGAGACATGTTGGACTCTTTGATTTCAATAGGGAGGTGCGAAAGGCTTGTGGCATGCATTATAAAAACGTTGGCATATTGAGGGCAGCATAAAAGAGGAAAACTAATCTTGTGAGTAGAGGGAAGTACCGTGTCAGAATTTAATTTTACAAAAATAAGTTTCAGCAATACAACAAAACAAGAGGTACATTTATTGGGAGTACATTGTTATACTAAAACAAACTGATGTATACAATACATAAATGGCATTTTAGTTTAAAAATATGTTATGTTTTCTAAACAAATGCAAACATCCACTGTATCCATAATTAACTGCAAACAAAAGCATATATAATAATACAACAAATATACTTTAATTTTAGAAAAAGTTGGCTTAAGAAAACTACCAAAAAGGGCTAACATTTATTGTACAGGTACACTTAATCTAAAATAAAAAGGTAACTCCAAGTTATTTTAGTTTAATGCTTACTGTTTTATGAAAAGAAGCTCAGGAAAATTATTTAAACAGCATTATATATAATTAATTTAAACTAAGCTTGTATGTACAGTGTAAATTATATTATTTCATGCCAGCAAAACAAATGTAAGTGATATGGTGTTATCAACATTTCCAGTAACATACAGAACTATAGTTTTTACAGCAGCATTAACAAACTAGTCAATGTTTTGTAATCTAAAATATGTGGTATGAAATAGACAGTTACTATAAAATCTATAGATTTACATTTATTCAATAAGTCATTATTAAAATTCGTATTCCACATGTAATTGATACAAACATTTACGTAATTTATAACAAAAGTTGGAAAATATTATAAATTCATTGACTGAGTTCGATTCTTAGGTTATCTTCCTTAGTACAATATCTGAAAATTTTGTAAAGAAATAACATTATTTATTTCCTAACAAAAAATAACTATTGCTACTTTGAAATATTAAATATGATATTTTATTATGCTTCTAAGAACTCCATAAACATTTTTGGGACAATTACTGCAATGATTTCTTAGCACTGTAATATAAACCCTGTATCATTATATGGTTGTAATTAAAGGTATCTTATATTAATTTTTTTAAAGAAAAGACTGTTCTTAATTGGAGAAATCTCACCTTGCTAACAATATTTTTAAAATAGGTTCTTCTTGCTCCAGCACTGCACGTAAGATGCTTGCATAATAATGATCATAATCAATTGGTTTAGATCGATATTTTGATAAGTTTAAAAGTTCAACTACCAACTCTTCATCATGTACTCCAACAGCAATTTCCAATGCACGCTCTCCTCTAAAATTACAACAGTTGATTGACAGATTTGGATCTGTCTGAAAATAAAAATAAATAAATCACATGAAGTTATGTTTTCTCCACTGATGTATTACAAAATAAGAAATAACTGTCAAATATTTTTGCACTTACGTGTATTAGCATACATCTTTTATATATATATATATATAGTATTGTTACGACAGCGGAAGTCACGTGACACTAGTAACACGTCATGAGCTTCTAGAAAATTCCTGTACCTTCGTGAAGCCTCGAGTGTTTACTAGATGTGCGGTATTCTTGTATATAAGACCGCCAAGAAGTGACGGCGACAACGTAATTGAATTGCAGACAGAGATAGAGACGGACAATTGAGTCGGGTGCGTGAGTCGTTCGTTGTGAATTATAGCGTTTGTTATAGCGTGACTGTGGAAATTAAGTGAATTTCAAAGTTGTATTAAGAAAGAATAAACTAGTTTTATTTAAGAAAGGACTTGTGTCACTAAAGTTTCATCGGAAAGAAATTATACGGGAAATTAACTAACGACCAGATACGTAACAGTATGTGACTAATTGAATTTGGACTGCTATGACCTTAAGCCAGTAATACATCATCATGGTATTATATGGCTTCTGCTGGTAAAGTATTTTCTGGCCATATCAGAGTGAAATTTATAGACAAACTGAAGGCTTTTTCTTAATTCTATTCTCTCTTAATTGGAGTGACAAATTTATTCTGGGATGGTTAACCTTACTTTTATCAGAACGTAGAGGGTTATTCTCTGTAATCCTGATAAGATTAATTGTTTCTCAGCAGCCATGTCAGAAAAAAATTCAACTGTTCTTCATTTTGTGTAGACATCAAATTGAAGTTGTCTACTATAATTTTATTGTTTTCTGCCCATACACAATATTATATTGTTTTATTGTGGTATTTAGGTGTCCTTATCATTAAGACTTAAAATTCAGAAGTTAAATTTGTAAAACTTTCTGATTAATGTCATAGTAAATAAGTGTACATGAGAATATTGCTGAATAAGGTAGTATGGTTTCAATTTGACGGACCTAATCACACAGAATTGGTTTTTGTTGTGTACCTAAATTTTGATATGTTTGTTTTTCTATGCTTCTTTGTAGTTTCATAAAATCTAAGTTAGAACTTGAAAGAACTAAGAAATGACATTTCCATATGAAGAGCTTATGAGTGAGAAAAGCTGTTGATTAATAGATGAAATGTGCAATGTGAGATTGTTGTATGGTCCAGGAGGAATCCTCTTCTGGCCATTGGTGTTTCATTACTAATACAAAGGGCAGTATTTACTGTCTCAATCAGAAAGAAAGTAACTGTTTCCAATCTTGGTTTATACAGTGATACCTTAAATAGTGGAATATAGGAGTACATGTTGAGTTGGAAGTCACAGTGGCATTGTGTAGTGTACTATGGTACATTATAATTGTCTACTGCAGTGACAGAATATCCTACAAAGCATAGTTTTCTCCAGAAATAATGTTGCTTGCTTCAAGAGTTATCTATACAAATGTTTGATATTTTTCCAATGATTATCTATAATTATGGATAATTAACTATTCAGTTTTTCTGCTGTTCATTGGTATTGTTAAAACCTGGAATTAACTGCATAGCTGTGAGAACATCTAGCTAAAAATTGCACTGGCAGTTTTGGACTCAGCACTGAGACAGTAACTTGGAGGGTAGCTAGTTGAATATGCTAGTGTTTTTATGGAACCAGATAGATGCTTGGGTTAAAAAACAGTGTGAAGTCACCATGCAGATAATGGTGACATATTTTGGAGTACATAAAATATACTGCTGAGATAAAGCGGTAGCTGAAAGATGTATTAGTACACAATCACAGTTTATTTGTCTCCAATGATAATTTGCAGAAATAAGGTTCTGAATAAACTTAAAATGGGTGAAAATGGTACAGAAAGCTGAATGTCTGAACATGCTGCAAGGTTTATTACACTTTATCTGGTTACAGAATACTGAAAGAAGAGAAGATCTAAGACTGTGAGTGCTGTGTCGTAACATTCACCTTGGGTAACATAACACAAACTACTAATGGTGCTAACTATGGGAAGGCTGCAACAGGAGAAATATCTCATCTACTTGAATTACATTTTGATGTATGGCTTCAGTCTGCTACTGATAATCTAGGAATAATGTTCAGGCAGTTAAGAAAAGCAGGCTTGAAACTGAAGACAAGAAAATGTACACCCATGCATACACATGTTGAGTTTCTCAGCAGCAGTGTGGGGAGGGATAGAATGTCTATAGACCCTGTGGAAAACACAGCAGTAAAAACTAGCCTCACCCCATACTGAAATGAGAGATACACAGCTTCCTAGGTTTTGCATCATACCATCGATGATCTGTGGTCATTTACTCTGAAATAGCTGTACTACTGTTTGCACTCACTAAAGCTGAAAAGCATTTTTAAATGAAGACTGCGACAAGTCATTTTGGACTAAATTGTGCTTTAGTCAAGGCTCTGGACTTTCCTTATATGAGACAAGACTGTTGTTCAATCTGAATATTGATCCTTGTGAAGGTGAGCTGATGCAGTATTGCTGCAGGTGCAGAATGGAGTAGAACATGTAATCTCCAATGTAGTTACACAGTAATAGCTTTGTATTGCAGTTGTATTTGTTAAGCATTCCCACTGGTACCTGCTTGTTTGTTAATTTCCGGTAGAAATTCTTTCCAAGGAACTTCAGCGATACAAGTCCTTTCTTGATTAAACCAGTTTATTCTTCACTGTTGAAAGTAGAGGGAAATCCACTTTTACTTAAATAATAAAATTTTGAGGACAGCTGTTGAGTAGATTATTTTATTTTTAGAAAATTTATTACAACGTTTCGACCACTTGTGTGATCATCATCAGGTAAACTTATGATATAGTGTCAAGTATTAGTAATTTACTCGAGCATTTTTTTAAAATTCGAACAAAATGCTCGAGTAAATTATTAATACGTAACACTATATCATAAGTTTACCTGATGATGATCACACAAGTGGTCGAAACGTTGTAATAAATTTTCTAAAAATAAAATAATCCACTCAACAGCTGTCCTCAAAGTTTTATTACAGTTTATTCTTTCTCCATACAAACTTTTAGTACACAGTAATTCCACAGTCAGTACGTTTCTCAACTTAACAACAAGAGTTCACTAGGATATATATTGTATTTGTACTGACGTGAAAAATTAGCTTTTCTTGCTACATTCATGTCTATATGCTCAGTGGTGAAACACACTGTTGTAGCATATGTTTTACAAATACAGGTGGTTCTTTCTCAGAAACTAAGGGAGGTAAATGTTATGTGCTTATCCTTATCTATTACCTCACCATGTGGACCAATAGTTAAGTGCATTGATGCAAACCTTTACTGATGTATTGGCTGAACCTTGGGTAGCATGACTGTCAGCATCTGGAGAAGTCCACATGGATCAAGGAGCATATTTGATCAGCCAGTTATTTGCAAAGTTATGGACAATCTTTTATATAGTGAATCTACACAATTCACTATATCATTTACAGCCGAGTAATTTCATGTAATACGTTATTCAAAATGTCAAACATGCTTTTGAAGTTTTGAATCCTGACTTAATCAACTGAGACAAACGCTTGAAGTATGTCATTATAGCTCATTATACAAACAAGCAATAGTTGACTGGTTGTTCAAGAATATGTGAACTGATTGAAGTTTGCATTAGTTATTGTGCCTGTCAAAAGTAAGATAAAGTTACCCTATATTTGAAGAGATGATATAAAAGGAATTAAAGTTTAATCATGAAGACTAGGAATGGCTTTGGTATGTGCCTGCTATATGGAAATAACTAAATTTCAGCTGTATTGGTCTATCTTGTTCTCAGACAGCTTAACCTAACAATTTATGAGCTGTAGTGGTTGCATGGACACGTTAAAGTCATACGTAATTAATGAATCTTTCATGCACTGGCTGAAAAAGATTTCAGAAGTTGAGGATTTGATAGGTCAGTCTTAGAACTTCAACAGTTTCACAAAGAACTTTTAAGAACCAAATGAGACTTAGCAAAAGCTAAATATGTCATTAAACAGACAACCTCCAGCAACAGGAAGTCTGAAAATGTTGACCTCTTAAGCATATTTTCTTACAAGACATCAAAATAAAGCTAACTCTTCACATTCAAAGAAAATAGAATACTAATTTCTTAACATCTAATTCTACAAAACAACCTCTTATTTTATAACATAACAATGTTTTGGGTCAACATGGGACCTATTGGTCCATCTCGGCTGTTCCATCTTCC